CTTTCTTTTCTCACTCGATCCTGGAGCCCTGCTAGAAACAACACATATGTACTGCGGTAGACACATACACTCGTACTCGCCCCAAGCTGCATTTTGTTTCTGGGCGAGGTACATAGCCTTACGGTCGGGATCCCGAAGTATCTTTTCCTACCTTACTGTGGTACGGATACCTCACAGACATCCTCTCGGAGTGTGCACATGAAATACCATTTCGAATAGAGGCGCAGGCAGGAGACTACTTGGAGATACTTGCCTTACCTAAGATAATACACCCCGGGCTTCCCCCTTCCCCTACCAAAAAAGGCACTGGCACCATTTTGCATCTGCAACTCACGCTGCGCGTCGCGTAGCTTGCCTGGCAATTGGTACTCACTCACTTTTGGGCCCCAAAGTAGCAGCAAGTGTACTTCAAGTACGGAGTACGGGGTGAGGTATCTACCTCTGTGTGTAAGGTGGTGGTGGAAAAAGGAGCAGGGCGAACACCACCCACCTTGCCCGCCTGCTTGGTCTTGCCTTTTCCTTGCGTTAGCGTAGTCGCCGGCATTCGAGCCACTCATCCCTCCACCTTCGTTCAATCAATTCAATTTAGTGGAGGGTGGGTAGATGGATGTACGCCTGTCCAGGTCCAGGTTCAGGCCCAGGGCACCCCCATCTCATCCCATCCCATCCCACACCATCCCATCTCATGGTCCATCGCCGCGCAAGTCACTCCCTCTCACACACCACACACACCACACCTCACTCTCTCTCACTCGCGAACTGCATTTCCGGGCTTTCTTTACCATCCCAGCGAGAGGCGCCCTACGGACCTTACTACCAACAGAGCTTCTTTGCCCTTTTCCCTCCTCTCGACTTCTTCCTCCATCCCGTCACTCTTTCCAAGGCCACGAGGTAGACTTGAGATCCAACTCTCTATCTGTCTGTACCATTCACTGCCTACCATACTTCGTCCACTTCAGCCCGCCTCAACTGTCCAGTCCCTCCTCTTCAGACTTCAAACTCAACCCTCGCCTCATCCATCTCCGCCCTGGAATGCTATTCTCTGCCCCTCTCGCCATTCTTGCACGAATACACGACTGAGCGTACGACGGGAGCCTTGACTCTTGAGCCTTCTTCCCGGTCCCGATCCCGCCGTCATCGCTTGGCCTTCCCGGTTGCTCTTTTTCGCTTCTCGTTGTCCTGAGCCTAACCCTTTTACTCATAATCCTAATATTATCCCACTTCACACTATAATCTATACCTTACCCTGTCTGGCCTTACCTTGCCTCCGACATCCCTCCTTGCTCGCCCGCTCGCCCTTTTTCACCATTGCGACAACCCCGAATCTATTCTTGCTCGTTCCTCTCTTCCTCAACCCCCCTCTCTCACCTTCCAGGGGCTGTCCTGCCTGCCATGTCAATCTGCGACTGCTGAACACGTCTTTTTTCTCCCCTTCGACGCGGCTGCTTGTTGCAACATCTCGACTCTTTTGCCAATCTCATCCAACCAGAGCCAGCCATTCGCACACCCAACACTCCGTACAGAAACCACCACCACCACTACCACCACCACTTGTAAGACCAGCAGTGACAGTTGTGGTCTCCCACACAGCGCCCGTGTCGCACAGCGTCGTACGTTATACCTCCGACTCTGCTATTCGACCTCCCGCATCGCACGACTCCGACCGAACCACCAGACCCGTACTGTCGAGCGGCTGTGGCAGTTGTCGCACGCCAATGGTCTCTGCCGCTCGTCTATAGCCTCTCAAGACACAGCTTCTTCTGTACGCCATGGCTACATCAACGGGCTTCCCACGTATGTCCTTCGGGGCCAACAACAACCTCGACTTGAGCTTGGACCTGCCAATTGTTCTCTTCCCCCCGTCAGACGATCTACCTTCTCCCATTTATGAGAGTGACGATGAGGATGCTCAGCGAACACCGACCATGGCTACCGTGCCCCAGATCCCAGACCGCAGCACACGTCGAACAAATAACGAGTCACCGACACTGGGCAGCCCCAAGGTCCCTCGCCATCCTATCCCCTCAATGCAGGCCGCTTTCGCCGAGTCGTTCCTCGAAGTCGCCGACGGCAATCCTACCCAGAAACCGAAACTGAAAACTGCTGATGCAAAGATTCGTCGCGAGGAGCTCATTAGCCAGGAACGCGAAGATGACCTACCCGATATGCTCTGGCGCTTTCGCCCCGGCCAGCAGCAGCATGAGCTCCAGAAGCTCATGGCGCAGATATCGTTTGGCGTTTACTTGCTACTTCACGGCATGGCCAACAGCGCCGCTCAGGTTGTCAGTATCTTGCAGGGACACATCGATGAGGTGGACGAGTTTCTCGAGGTGGTCATGGAGGACTTTGAGCAGGCGACCAACGATTTGAAGGAGAGGATCGACTACCTTCGCCTGCCCATGGAGAACCTCGAAGTCTTTGAGAAACTGCTAGAGGACCGCAATTTTCGCCTCGAGATCGTACAAGGCAACGAAAAGATTGAGCATATCGTAGCTCGCACCAACATCCAGCTCGAACAGTACGACAAAGATGTGCAGCATGGCCTCGCCGCAACAAAGGAGTTTGCTGTTTATCTGGCTCACCAAAATGCAGGCAGTTGGCGCCAAGATCGCCCAGACGTGGTTGACATCTACGCCGCAATGAAAGGCAATACTGAGGGCTGGTACAACGCATTTGTGGAGTTGCAGGCTCAAGGCAAGGAGTTGAATACCTTGGTCGTCAAGCTGGGGAAAATGGTGGCTGAAATGAGCAAGAAGGCTGGCGAAGTGAGTCGAAGAACTTGGGTAAGTCGGACCAATCGCCCTGTGGTCTGTCCAGAACTAACCGCTCTGCAGGCCAGCATTCCGCCGTTCAGCCTACCGCTACAAGGCGCCCGAGTCGACGATGCCTCGTCGAATTCACCACCAGCTTCACCTCTCAGAGACCCGAGGCGCTCTACGCTGCGCGCGAATAGTGTGAGCGGCTCTGTCTCTACGGGGGGTAGGTCAAGTTCCAATTTGGCCTACTTTGACATCCCAATGCAGATACCATCGCCAGTAGCTTCTCCTGATCAGCGATCTGTCAAAACTCATAGAACATCGCACTCAAACAACACCATGCAGTCTTTCCACACCTCTCACTCTCACAACACGATTCATTCACAGACGACCACCAAGTCTCATAAAACCACACACTCTCATAACACCAACCACTCTCACGAGACGGCTCGCACAAGTCATACTACTCGCACCAATCAGAGCTCGCATTCTATCGCGCCAAAGCTCACTCTGGAGACTCCTGACGGCCCAATAACTGAGCCAGTTAGCGCTGAGGAGGAGGTGGAGGTGACACTGGACGACGGGCCGCTATATATACTCCAACCAAGGACCTACACCCCGCAGCCACCAGAGGAACGCATGCCTTCACCCGCCCCGACCGAATCATCAAGCAAGTACCAGCCCCAGCGCGAGGCGCCTCTCCCAACGAAGAAGACGTCGCTTCGCCAGAGAGTTTCTTTGAAGACGACTCCTCCAGAGTCAATCCAAATTCCACCCCCGTCATCAGATCTTCATCACACTGCGCGAGAGTCTCCTCGGGAGCGTCAGGCTCCAGATTCCGCCTATGGTTCTGACTATGACCAGCGGCAGCGTTACCATGCAGCGAACGAGCTCTCTCCGCCTGTACAGCAGCCGCCGGTGCTACCGTCTCCGAGGTCGGAACACCAGTATTACCGCCCGGTGCAAGCGAGTCCACACTCTCCACTACAGCAAAGGCCGCTCACTGCTGGCGCGCAGCCCAGATCTCCTTATGGTCACCAGTCTGGGTACTATCCCACTCACCAGAGGAACGCACCATCCCGTCTAGGAGGCGCAAGCATGTTGAGCAATGTCACGACCATGACATACGACTCGCAGATGACAGCGAGCGGAGAAAAGCGACTGAAGAAGAAACGCAGCGCTTTTGGCTGGCTGAAGAAGGCATTCTCGCTTGACGAAGAGGAACAACGAGCATACGAAGCACGGAGGCAGCAGCAAACGCCCAATATGTACTACGACGGCAGAAGCCCCAAGTTCCTAGACGGCAAAAGAGTGGCACCGCCGCGGACTGCAGACAGCGTCTATCGCCAAGGAGGCAGCGTCTATCGACAACAATAAGTCGGCCGTGTCGTAGAAGGTTGTCATCGGCCTTTGTCCCCAAATGTGGTTCGTCGTCTGTAAGACTGAGAATCATGCCGAGTATGGACCACTGTTCGAGTTCGCCATTCTGCGCCTTTCGCCCGGTATTAGACAGAAAAGTGCGATATTGATACCCCTCGGGCGATCATTTCATGATATTACATCATTGTAATCATGCCACTCAACAAAAATTGTTGATGCATGCTTCGCGATGTACATTTTGGCTTACGGGTTTCCGTGAGCACATCACCATCTACTCGTTATTTCATGTTATTTGGAACAGATACTCGCAAACATGCGAAGGAAGGAAATCAGCATTAGTGCCCTGCCAGGCGTCGAGGCGTTTTAGTCATTCATGTAGCGACTTACCATTTTTCCGGTGCATCTACAAGCCAAACTTATTTTTTATCCGCCCGATGGAGGGCAGTAATATACGATTCTACGAGGATCCAAGACGAAATAGTGGGCCAAACCTCAACCCAACTCTAAATGAAAGCATCACCCCGCAATGTAGTGAACATATGCCATACCTGCGTCTGCTGCGGTCTACGCCCTAGTGTACGCCCTGTACCGGACCACCATCATCCCTGCACGATTGACCAAGTGCTCTGTTTCTTGTGTAGAAAGCTCCGATCAACCCGCATATCCTAGAATGCTCGTTTTCGTTAACTCTGTACGCCAGTTTTCTGTACAGCCAAGACGGTGCGGGATCCGCTTCATGTCCTTGTATCAGATAGTATAAATTCCGTGACGAGATCCAACAAGACTCGGTAGGATGTTCACTCTATCCTTGATTTCTCTTGAGTCACTAATATTCCTTTTCCTCAATCTCATCACCCCAGCGCCATGACAACCTCAGCGTCCAGGACGTGGTTCATCACAGGCTGCACGAGCGGCTTCGGGGAAGCCTTCGTGCGGAAGCTGCTGGCGGATGGGGATAACATCATTGCCACTGGTCGGGGCGGAGCAGAGGCTAGGCTTGCGCATCTGCGAGATACGACGGCAGCGGCGCGGTTGCGGATCATGGAGCTCGATGTCGGAGCGGCGTCTGAGGTGGAGATACGGGCCAAGGCGGCTGAGGCGTGGGGGTACTTTGATGGAGGTGTTGATGTGGTTGTGAATAATGCTGGGTATATCGTCTCTGGGCTTGTCGAGGAGTTGACGTGAGTTTTCATCTACCCCTTTTACTTACCCCCTTTACTTTACAAGTTCCGCATTGTTTTTTTCCTCTTGAGAGTCAGGGCTGACGTGAAAAACAGGCAAGAGGAGATGGAAGCGAGTTTCAGGACAAACTTCCACGGTCCGCTGAACATTACGCGCGCGTTTCTGCCGATGATGAGGGAGAGGGGGACGGGGACGCTGGTGTATATCAGTTCGCAGGCGGCGTGGCACGTTGAAGTTAGTGCTGGGGCGTATAGCGCGAGTAAATTCGCGCTCGAGGGTTTGTATTTTGCGTTTTACCAACTCCATCACTTACACCTTGCCCAATTTTGAACATCAGTCTGTTTTTCTTGAGCTTGGTATCATTATGGCGCCCTCTCATCCCGTCCCACTACCCTCAACGTGCAAGAAGAAGAACAAGAGAAGCTAATACTGGACTGTTTCGACCCCTGCCAAAGGCGCCGTTGAGACACTTTCCAAAGAACTTTCCATCCTCGCTACCAACCTAAAAGTCATCATCATCGAGCCCGGGTTTTTCCGCACAAAGGTCTTCAACAAGATATCCAACGTTCCGGCACGCATTCCCGAGTTTGCGGAGATCAACGCGGCGATCAGAGCGGGCGCCGAGGCGCTACCGGGGACGGAGCCGGGGGACCCGGAGAAGGCTGTTGCGAGGATCGCGGAGCTGGTGCGGGGCGACGGGATGGTGATGGACGTGGACGGGGTCGGTCGTGGTGGCAGTAGGGAGGTGCCGTTGAGGGTCGCGTTAGGGAGTGATGGGTGGGAGAGGATTCGGGATAAGTGCGTGGGTGTTTTGGAGGGGTTGAGGGCTTGGGAGGATGTTGCGAGGAGTACGGATTTGTGAAGAGCATCACTGGCGGTTTTTCTGTAGGAAGATCTAGAAAATCACGAGAGAAATCTGAGCGGAGTATGCCAAAAGTAGCCTATCAGCTTCTATTCCTCTTGTCTATTCAAGCCCCGGGAGAATGCAAAAAGCTGTCACTCCCCGATGCCGTAGCTCTTTACTCTACTAAAGAAGAAGGGCTTGTCGTTCTTCAACGCAAACTCGCCCAGGTCGTCCGTCAGCTTGTTATAGCTGTAGAATCCCTTCCAGACGAGCTTGGTGTTGCGCGCGCCGCCCTTGCCGGCGTTGCGCATCTCTAGATACATCCTATATGTGTACTTCGCCCCGACCCCCTCCGTCTCGACGGCCACATCGCCCTCGACCTCGCCGAGCGGCCTGTCCGGGTGATCGAGCGCCGAGGACAGCCGCCACCGCCCGCGGAGGCCGTGCTGCATGACGACGGACGGCAGATGCGCCGTGCCGCCGCCGTTGCGACGGTGCAGCTCGAGGAGGTCCTTCGTCATGTAGTGCACGACGTGGGCGGGTTCGTCAGTGGTGAGCAAGCTGATGACGGTACCGTCGCGGAAGAAGCGGAGGTAGCGGTAGTAGGTGACGATGTGAACGGGGCTGTTCCAGGTGATTTGGTTGGCATTGGCCTGGCCCGGTCGGATGTAGTTCACGGTGCTGATGTAGCACCCGTTGAAGCGGATCCGCGGCCTGTGCCGGAACATCTTCCGCCAGGACGAGTCGTAGAGTTCCGGGAGGAGGGTGAGGGTCGTGGTATTGCCCTCTTCCCTGCGGCGCCGCGCGAGCTCCTCCATGGTGACGTAGTCGAGGTCGCCGCTGTTGTCTTCCTCTTCCTCCAGCGGTTCCCAGGAGACGCCGCGTTGCCAATGGTAGTGCATGCCCGCGAAGCCGAACTCCGGGCCGAGGGCGACGCGGCGCCAGATCTGCTGCTCCGTGGCGACGACGTAGGCGAAGCGTTTGCAGATGAGGGACAGCCGTACAAAGTCGCCGACGTCGAGGACGGCCACGTCTTTGAAGATATGGACCAGGATCTCCTCGGGCATGCCGGCGATGGGACAGGGCGGCGCCGGGTCGCCTTCTACTGGTGGGGGCGCTGCCGATACGGCGAGACCTGAGAAGCCGGTAATCAGCTCGCTCATTGTCTGCGTTTCTACTGGCTTGCTTGCTGCGCTTGTGGCGGCGGTCGCAGGACCTGACGCCGAGGGCTGTGGCGCTTTCGCGGCACCGGCGGGGAAGTGCTTCTTTCGGTACGCCAGGTCAACTCTGTTATCCATCTACAGTGGAAAGTTCAGCATGATCCTAGTGGAAGAGGCAGATTAGCGAAGCATTGGCTCCCTACCCTGAATGCCTTGCGGTACAACTTGAGACTGTCCCCCAAGCTGCCGATTGCTTCCTTTTCGACGGCTTCTTCAAAGTGATCCAAGGCAGATACCAGTTCTCTGGCCTTACTGGGGTCAGACTGTCCATCCAGGGTCGGACCGGCAGCAGGCGGTGCTGGTTCATCGAAAACGAGAGATTGTGCGTATTCCTCATCCTCTTCTATTTGAGACCTCTTGACGATTACAGTTTTGGGAATCTCTGCAGGTACTGATTGCTTGGATGATGAAGGTGCATCCCTTTTCGACTGAGGTGCCCCAGCTTCTGGGACAACTTTTCTGTGCTTCAGCTCGGTCTGCCATTGTTGCCGGAAAGACTCCAGCTCAGAGTCGAGCTGTGGAGGTTCGTCTACCATGACTGATAGCTATGACGCTCAAAATTTATGAGCCTGTGGAGCTGAGGAAGTGCTATGACAGTGACATTGATTATTTCTTTGAAATTCAAGGTGGGCGAGGGCGTTGTTTGGTGAATTCAAAATTCCGAATATCTCTAAGACACGAAGCTGCGATATGAGATGTAGTTAAAGTCGACCACTCATCATCGACAATGATGCTGTAAGCAGACACGGAAAGCACGCCGAACTGGAGTCAGACGGCGTGTGAGGTGCCACCTGAGTTCCACCGTGTCTGCTGCTTATCGGTGACATTTTGTGGCGCACCGATGGATCCACCATAGTTCCAACCAATTGGGTCAGGGGGTTGGTCCGTGACATCACCTTAAACGGTTTGGGCTCGGCTCGGCCAGCAAGGTGCCCCGGCGCCACCCATTTCATTATCTCCGGCAAATTTTTGGGGGGAAGAAATGGAAGGGACCAGAGTCGGAGCGCGCACCCGGTTTCGCAGTCATGACGAGGCGACTCTCCCCGTCTAGCGAACGGGGTAAGGCTAATTAATTCTCACCCTGCCTCTTTTTCTAACTTCGTGAAAGCTTGTACCTCTTTCCTAACCCCCTCATCCGTCGAACCGCTTGTCATTTTCCATTTTGGCCAGCTTCTTACTGCACCACATTCCTGCCGACCGGATGACCGCAGCATCTTTCCCAAGCTCCGACTTCCCCGACGATGCAAGCTGGTCCGCAATGACTACCATCCACCAGGCCACCCGAGGCCAGGACCACGACAGATTTGATCCCGATGACTCTTTCCCGATGGCGCGAATAGCTCAGCCCCCGACCAACGGTAGCGGAGGAAGTGACGATGATATCACGGCGCCGCAGAAGATGATCTCGGCCATGTCGGGTAGTCTTTTGACATCGCTTCTCGGTAAGCTAGCTAAAGCGCGAAACGGGATGTGAGCTTCCCATACGCTGACACGCATATGCAGTGACGCCCCTCGACGTTGTCCGAATCCGATGGCAGTCGCAAAATGTCACCCCGCCAACGGTAGACTTTTCACGGCTGGCTATGACCACCGACACCCTCAAGACTTTCAACACGTCGAACCTCGGAGTCACAGCATGCTGCCGGGAGGTATTCTTCATGAACAACAACTCCGAACTATGTCTCGCGATGCCGAGAGCGGCAGAAGGCGCGGGATCTTCTGCTGCTGCTGCATGCTCTGTCGAGGAGGTTGAGCGTAAGACAATCAGCTCTACCATGGACGGTCTGAAGAAGATTGCGCGAAATGAAGGATTCACCAGCCTATGGAGGGGTTTGTCTCCGACGTTACTAATGACGATCCCGGGTAACATCATCTACTTTACTGGCTACGACTGGATGAGATACAACAGAAAGAGCCCAATCGCGCAAAGGCTCAACGACGATACCGCTCCGTTGGTTGCCGGTTCCGCAGCTCGCGTTCTGGCCGCAGCTGCCGTTAGCCCGATCGAGCTTTTCCGTACAAGAATGCAAGCGTCGACCGGCAACTCTACGACCGGCCATCTCGCAAACACGTTCCGCGACATCAAGGATATGGTCCACAGCAGCGGATATACTTCTCTATGGAGGGGCCTGACCTTGACATTGTGGAGGGATGTGCCCTTCTCAGGCCTGTACTGGTGGGGGTACGAGACGATACGGGGTAGATTGACAGATTTCCGAGAGACCGGCCGCGGCCGGACTTTGGATACTAGAGGATCACGAACCCAATCGCGCCGCCGGTCTCAGAGCCACGAAAACCACACGGAAACCATGACAGACAGCTTCATTGCTGGCGCCGTCTCGGGCGGATTCGCATCAATAGTGACGATGCCGTTCGATGTGGGCAAGACCAGGACGCAAGTGTATCGCGAAGCGCCCCGTCAAGCGGGTGAAGCCAACGCGGCCAAGGCCGCTGCGGCTGAACAGGGCTCTATGGTGCGCCTGCTCTGGCATATCTTCACGACGGAGGGCATCGGCGGCCTGTGGAAAGGATGGATTCCCAGAACGCTCAAGGTGGCTCCGGCGTGCGCCATCATGATCAGCAGTTACGAAGTCGGAAAGCGGGTATTCAGGGGCGTGAACGAGAAGTCTAGGAGGGACGCGGACTAATATTGGAGCATCATCACCACTCATTCCATTTCCAGCATTATTGGGCGTTCAGCGGGCTGCTATCTATTGACGATGGGAAGGAAAAGAACCCGGGCCTGGAGTTTGCATGCCGAGCGGCATACGTCGCGGTTGGTTTAGACATTGGGGAAAACAAAAATCGTGTAATTCTAGTTGAAGTGTAATGATACCTCGTCCACAAAGTGGTTTTACTTTCATGTCATACTTGAGTCATGGTTGATCCCAGCCTTGTGGTGACAGGATGCATTGCCCAATAATGGATTGGTATTAACCTTGAGGTGAGATAAGGTAAGGTAAGGTACCTACCTACCTACCTACCTCAGGTAAGCCAGAGATCTTGATGAAGTCACCACTTCGTCCCAAATAGCCGACGGGAGCTCTCAGGGGCAATTGGAACCGCTAAGCTGCCGGGGCCGCTGCAGGGCTGCAGCTCCCAGGCAGCTCCCCGCCCCCTACCAGCCACTAAAAGCCTCCAGGACGCGCCAGAACAGCGGGTCAATCAACTCGCGTTAATGACTTTTCCAATTGGTAGCGCGTCACCACGCGACGGTCCGCAGACTGGGTGTTCGAGCTTTAAGGCCAATGGAGGGCTAAGGGAAATCTCATTCTCGACTACACTCCGTATTCAGTCTCTCTTCTTCCCCCACTCCAAACCTCTTTCTTAGCCCATTGTATTACATCCATTTAACGTGAACAAGACCGACCCAAATCTGAATTCTGTACCAGCTTTATGACGATTTAAATTTTTCTTGTCTGATCCAAATTCTCCATCACAATTGGTCCTCTACGCCTCGCCAGGTCAGCAACCCACGCCGTCCTACGTCCGCGGCCAGGTCAACGGCCTGCCAACGTCATCGTCTCCCTCTCGTACAGCTTTCCCTCTCCACACGCCAACATGTCCACACTCAAGCGCAAGGCCGGCACGCTGTCTGCCTCCGACAGCAAGAAGCCCAAGCAAGATGGGAGCATCATGTCCTTCTTTGGGGCCCCGAAGCCGGCGGCCGGCAACAAGGGGGCTGGTTCCACCGCAGCAGGTGCCGGTGCTGCGGCCGCTCCCGAGGCGCCTGCGGTCAAGTTCGACAAGGCCAAGTGGGTTGCCGGACTGACGGCCGAGCAGAAGGAGCTGCTGCAG